TTACAGACATAAGTGTGTATTTAACAGCCTTGGGCTCACAGGAACTCAGCTAGAAAAGGGTTTGCAGCTAGCCCAAACCCAGCCCAGTGCTACACCAATTCATTCTCACCCAACCCACTAAAGCACTTGGGCTGCCCAGCATGTAACCCAGTGGGCCCCAAGCATCAGGGTGACTAAGGATGCAGTGTAGCTGCAGGGAGATCCCTTAAACCTGGCATACAAACCACCAGCTTAAACCACCAATGACAATGACTCCTATTATGTTTATTTTTAAGCTCATGAAACCTCATCATGTGAAAAGTATGAGCCACCATGATGTTACCTAATAAAATGGACAGTACCTTTTTATTATTATTTTATTTATTATTTTATTGCTGATTTACCTAAAAAAAATTACTATTTTATGCTTTCACATTTTTCTCTTTTCCATTGAAATTTTTAGAACCTTGTAGGTTTAAACATCTCTTATAAATTATTTTTTGATCTTGAAATATACACAGTTCAGCTGTCACTCAGAGGCAGTTGCTTGACAGTTCAAACATGTTATTACAGTCAGTTGTGGGGAAAAATTATCTTTTAACTGACAACTGGTATTTTTAAGATATTTGAAATGAGAAAAAAATTAATTCTTTAGTCTCCAAGTTGGCACAATCCATTTATCAGATCTCACGTTCTGGTGAAAATTATGGGTATTTTCTCCCTGATGTATTGTATTGTAATGTATAAATAGTTTAGCAAAAAGTAGCTATCAAATCCAAATTCAGTGTTTCACTGTAATTGAAAGATTAGCATATTCTCAATAAGTGCAATTGAGCTCCTACCTTTTACTCCTCCCTCTCAGAAACAAACTAAACTGAGTGCAGAAACTCAGCTGCTCTTGGGAAAAATAATTGAGTTTTTCCACTTGCTACTATAGAAGGTGAAAATACAAATCATCAAAATACGCATAATAGCAAAAGATCTTATTGGCTAAAATTAACAAGCTAATAAACTGGCCTCTATTTAACTGTAATTTTCTTTCACATATTTATGCGGAGCATCAGAATCTGAGATAAAACAGGTAAGAAAAGCACCCCATGATGGGGGCTCAAACAGCCATTCTTAACCTGAACTTGCAATTTTTGTCTTCCTTCCTGTGTGAAATGAAGTGATTCCAATACAACTATGGAGCTTTTTGCCACCTATGTAGTAATTTTTTAATGGTATAAAATGTACAAACATGTACTTTGTGTACATGTTTCAGTGCATAAAAGTTTTTGCATTGAATAGTTTAAGTGCTGTTCCTGTTATCCCAAAAAATACCTTATTCATTATAGGTGAAACTAATTCCAGTGCTCTGAGACTGCCAGATCCTTAAGAGTGTTTGAGTCTTCACTTCTGATTATTACCAAGTCAGTGCAAAATACATAGTTTTAAGGTGGTTTAAGATCTGCAAGTATTTTGGAAGGCAAAAATCAGAATTAAAGCCCACTTTAGGATGCAGAGAAATGTTATGAAATAAGCAGAATACAATTTTGGTAAGACCAACTGGGAGATACTGCAGTCACCTGCATAAGTACAAGATTGGAAGTAAATAGCTGAAGAGCAACTTTGTAGCTTGGCTTCATAGCTAATCACAAAACACACCAACACCACTGTGTCTATCCCACAGTGTTGGGATAGACAAGGGTGTTACACATGGCTTGCAAGCTAATATTCGCCCCTAGAAGACCTGGTCCAGCAGTGGACACCACAAGGCAAAAATGAATCGGAATGGAACAAACATGGTAAACAAAAATGTGAAAAATGGAACAAACATGGTAAACAAAAATGTGAAAAATCAATGAGAAAAGACTTAAAAATCTAAACTTGTTTTATCCAAGGTTAAGAACACTGAAGTGATGATGCAATGCAGTTGTTGCAAAAATGAGCTGGTTTCAATGTCTGTGAGAATAGGACAAGCACTGGGGGACTCAAGTAGCAGCAAGGAAGATTTTTAGACACAAGGTAAACTCTGACAGTCTGAAAAGTTGGTGTAATGAAATGGCCTGGAAAGGTTATGGAATCTCCATCATACAGTGCTGTAAAAACCGATTATATGGAAATCAGTTCAGTTAAAGCTGAGTCTGTCTTAGATTAGGGGTAAAATAGCTGGTTTTCCCAAGTCTCTTCCAACAGTATTCGACTGACTCCCTACAGCAAATCTGTTGCCAGGAGCCTATACCACGGGCCTGAGAGCTGCCATAACGTGAAGAACGATCTGACATGTTCTTGTACTTCTGACCTGTTCAAAGCACAGTGCTCCCAAATACCAACTTGAGATTGTAACACACTGAGCATGAGTACGGTAAAGATAAAATGTTCTGTTTGCTGCTACTGCCACATTTGAGTAAACTGCTTCTAACAGAATGTGTGTTACCATGTGGTTACATTTTATGCTTTCAAATGTTATGATGTGTAGTATTGTTTTCTCCCTTCATCATGGTTTGAGCCAGCCAGAGTAACATGCCAGGAAGACTTCCCCCAACAAACACATCACCCACCCACTTGAAACAACAAATCCTACTGCTCTGGCTTCTCAGGTGCAACCAGTTGTTGTGTAGTTTCATAAAATAGGCAAGGCTTACTTAACTATTACTTTACATAGAACATAAAGCTCATTTTTCTTTCTAAAAACTTGTATTCTGCAGCAAGATTTTCACTATTTCCATCGAATGACAGAAAAGGTATTAGTAAATTAAAACAATTATTTTAAAAGACGTGTATGGCCAGGTAAAATAAAATACTGCTTTCCTGCAGCAGTACAGCCTACTGACCAGAAAAAAATCTTTCAGTGTTGGAAGTGCCAAGTATCTTATGAAGCCCTTGAAGGCATAAAAATCAAGGACTTTCCACAAGTTGAATAACCATAAAGCTGTCTGTAGTCAAAAATACTTTGGAAACTAATAGGAGTAATTACTTAAAATTTCAGTAAATGTCAGTTGTGCCTTGCTTTTAAACCCTAGCTTGCCTCAGTTCTGCGAAAGGTTTTTATAGATTACAGCACAACCCACTCTACAAACTATGCTCTAGAAAAAGCAGGGCCAAAAAGTAAATCACAGTATAAGGTTGTTGACAAATGAATTTGTAAAAAGAACAGTTTACACCAAAAGGATCAAAGTCAGAGCCTTTATTAAATGTTCCTTCTTCAAACAGACTGCATTTAATCCCCCTTTCGCATCTGTAGTTTCTAAGGCTATTTTAAATACTCTGTTTTACAGGGATTTTGAGTCTTCAGAACCGTCACAAGCAGCAAGGTAGCAGTACACAAAAACACGACGCTTTCATTGTCACTGAGTTCTATTCCTGCTTCACAGGGTCTGTGGAAAAACCAACAATACTTCCAGTACTGGAGTTTTTGCACAGACCCTGGGAAGAAAATAGGTGTCACCAGAGTTGAAGCCTGATGTGCTCTAGCCACATCTCACAATTGGCCAGGATTTACGAGTACTGGTTAGTATTTCTTGTGCATTATCTGTTTCAAAAAGGGGACCAAATTTTCAATTTTCAGGTAATGTGGGTCTAATTAAGGCTATTTTGGTGTATTCAATACTAAAATACTCTCTGGGAGTCCTTTTCATGAAACCCCATCAGAATTAACATTTTCAAAAATGAAAACATTTTAAATAGGTGTTTGAGTTGAAATGCTGATGCAGCGGTTGGTTCAGCGTTTTCTTGTCTTACAGAGCTTTATCACGTCAGTATAGTGTCATCTATCTGTTCATCAGAGTCGGCCTGGCCAGCCAGCTTCTTCAGGGATCTCCTGCAGCTTTCATTGAGAAGCTCCAAGCTGGCAGCATCCAGAATCTTGGAAACTGACTGTGGAAGGAAGACAACACCAATTACCAATTCCTTAGGACATACTGTGCAAAATAAGAGTAAATATAAGTGCCTGACACGCGTACTTGTGTAAAATCTTTCACACATACCCAAGTCCTTCATCTGGTTTTGCAATTCCAGACATGAGGACTATCCAAAAGCCACTAAGAAAAGAGGTCTGGCAGTGGATGTACAAAGCAGTCCACCCTAAAATACACTCCAGCACCCCTAGTACTGCAGTAGGAGTATACAACTGATAAAAGCTAGCAGTCTTAGCGAAGGCAGCTACAGCACAGTAAAGGCTTAAGGCCATTTGAAAGCAAGGAGGGGAGGTATGTTAAATACATTGATTTTATTAATACTACACTGTAGTATTAATACTGTAATAAGTATTTTGTTAATACTTACAACTGTAAGGTTGTACAGTATCAGTATTGCTTATTTCTCATTGCTGAGCATTAGAATATTGATGAAGGCTTAAGTGCAAATGGGAATGTCCCACTCCACCTACTTCATAAAAGGCTGGCAGCACATTCTGAACACAACACAACCACATGCAGAGCAACACGACGCAGCCTTAAACCAATGATTACATTTCCTTCTGTCTCGTACCTCAAGCACTTCTTCACCCGCTCTCATCTTCAGAAGGTTGACAATAGCTTGGTCACTGTAGGCTCTTACGCTGGTGTTTTTGTCCTTTGTGTTGTCCAGGAGCGCTTTGAGAATTGGTTTAATTGTCTGAGGATCCAGTGAGGGAAGATGGTCTTTATTTGCCCACCAAATCATCTTTTCTGCAACTAACTTTATGTCACTGGATGAGTTCTGAAGACACTGAGGGAGACAGCGATGGACTTAAATTCAGATATATCAAGGAGAGGTATTTAAAGCAGTAGATTATCTTTTTTTTTTTTTCCCTAATTAGTTTAAACTACCAAGAAAAGCAAATGGTTTTCAACTCACAGGTACACAAACATGTTACCTGCAAGTCTGACTAAACTGTGTAGAGAAGACCAAACCTTGAAAACAAGACACCTTTTCAAAAGAAAACTTCTCAAAGTGTGGCTGACAACACGGTCACACAGTTCTCAACTGTCTCAGGAAATGACAATGACCACTAAGGGCAGTAACAGCCAAGTCAGTCTCTGGTTGGAGTATAAAGTGGATTTCATATTAAAATAAATAAATATATTGGAGCTTTGTATTTTCTTTATTCTCAACATACTTAAAGCATGAAAGCCCACATCTGAATGTCAGCTCCATTGTTAATACCGTCATAAAGGTATTGTGACAGTTGTGATACTTGTGTTTTGTATTTTAATACAGTGCTATGATACAAATTAATATATAAATGTAGAATTTCAAACCAAAAGTCTGCATCATGTCAACTTGTATGTCTGATAGTGGTTGAGTGGATTGAGAAGGAATGTAACACATCTAGACAGACAAAATACAAAGCAGTTCTCCTGCTCCAGCACTACCTGTCATTCCGTTATCTTCCTCTATCCTTTCTAAGATGTTAAAAACATCCTGAAGTTCTGATGTTGAAAACTCACATCCTGTCTACCATGAGAGATGAGGGAGGGGACACACCAAAAAAACAGAACCACCAAGAAAGGAATTTTGAGGTAGAATATTTAAATAGGTATTAATGGAAAAACGTGTTAACTTCAGTACTCTCTTATCTCAGTCCTGAGCTACTCCCTCACACAGTAATGGATGTCAAAAATTACTGAAGCAAAACCAGGTGAGAGTTGGTATTTGATGCATTTCTGACCAAGGCCCTTTGACTTTTAGTAACCATAAAAACCCAACACCTTCCCTCACTCCTCTGTGCTTCTCTACCAGTTATTTGTTACTGCAAAGTTAAAAGTGAGTTCATGAGAATCAATCTTGAAGTTTACCACATTTCCACAGTACAGCAGGGACAGCAGTACTGTATTCACAACAGCAGAGCAGGCTAATAAAGGGATTCTGTCTGTACTCTGCCACAAAAAGAAATACCTGGACTTTCGGGATCAGGGGATTTGGAGCTTCCCAAAATAAAGCAACCAAGCTTTTGGTTTTCATGCTGGGTTTCCATCCAGAAGTTGGATAGAGAAATCCACCCGTGAGTTAGCTCAAAGATTCAGACCACACGAAACAATGCCAGGGAGTTACCATAAAAATTCTTACCTTAATAAAGAGATTGGAAAGTTTTGGAGGCAGGTTCCCTTCTCCTTCCATGTGGTATTTCATAAGAAAGCCCATCCCTCTGATGCCACTGACTGCAATGGGAATCTTCAACATAAAGGCAAAACCCGGTATTACTACAGCAGGGCTCAGCAGCCTTTAGCTAGGCTCAGGGTCTGGTAAACTTTGTGGAAGGCTAAACCCATCTCTCATAAAAATTGCAGCATGCAAAGCAGTGGGGTTAATGTTATGGGGTAATGTGAAAATATCATGTGACTATGAGCCACATGGAATAAGGTGACAGGTCCCACAGAGCCCCCAAGCCCCCCACACCAAATTACTCATTCAATCCTAGATTTAAAATCCTCCTCCTAAAATGGAATTCATGCTCCTTGTAAACCTGGCCTGTGAATGAGAGCTTCAACAGGGAAACAGAAGCGTAATTTACTCCCAATGAAAGCTGCTCTGCAGTTGAAGATCATTTAATTTTCAACTCCACAGAGATCAGAAGTCATTTAATTTCCACTATAAAACCTGCATCTCGCCAAGGGAGACTCTTCAGACTGGGGATTTTCACTCCATTTGGTAACACACAGAACCTGCACTCCTTTCAAAACTGCTCCTAACAAGTGCTTGCAAGAGAACTGGCCCACTCCCCTGTAGCACTTACCCTGTCAGCAGTGGCATTGCTGAGGATCATCTCCTGAACACTGTTGTAGTACTTGGGGGAACACAGCCTGCCAGGAGCAACATTTACAGCCACGGAGAGAGCCAGGCTTCGGCCGTGCCTCACCATCCAGTCAATGCCAGAGACATCTGCTGCAAAAGAACAGCATTAAAGCAAGGCTCCTGACATCCCTTCCCCTTTGCCTAAGACAGCTTTTGTCAGCTTGTCAATTCACTTCCATAAAATGAAACCATAAACAGCCTCTAATGCAATGCTTTGCTTCTGCTTGCCCCCAAAAGCCAAACAGTGCGGAAACACAACCAGACAAGAACACCTTATGGGCAGACAGGGAGACAAGCGACTGTATTGTTCAACCCTGTTACTTCTGATGCTCTCAGTCACCGCTTTGTGCATGAAGGAGTTTGGCACTGGAATTACACATGCTTTGACTAATAAAACTGTAGAAGTCATCAGTAATTTGAAACCAGCTCACAGACCCTTTTTAATCCTGCAGGAACAGTAATCCCAGAGGAATACCAACCACCATGAGCTTCTATAAAAATTACGGGGTTTTCTAACTTAGAGGCTCTTAGTTAATTCTCCAAAAGCATGTGAAGCCATCAGATGTGGTCTGCAATTAGCATATGCCAATCTAAGGTCACAGTGTCATCAAAAGAGATGGAATGGCCCTCCCATTCACCCTGCCCCAACATCCCACCAACCCCATCCGCTCTGTGTCAGCACTAGCAATGATTCAGCCGTGATCAGCTTTCATCAACTTATCTGAAAACAAACCCAGAAGATAGAAGTATTGGTAATCCCAAGTTAGAGCCACTACCCTGTGCTCAACAGTGTTCACAAATCAACAGCCATGAGCACAGAAAAGCACAAGAAAATCTAGAGATTCAGGTTTAGGATAAAGAGGAAGAACCTAAACAAAGTCTCCCTGAACCAGCAGCGAGAAGGTATCTTCCCTTGCTTCCAAACCAGTTCCAGTCCCTCTAAACAGCTTCACCTACCCAGTAAATGCTGGTGGAGGACAGTACTGAGCTCCTCTTCCGACAGGAATGCACACAGTTCTGCCAAGCAGCCAGCTGAGGCCATGCGGGTGGCGTCCTGACAAGGGAAGGAGGAGAAGAGGACACCCAGCTGAGCTCAATATACATCAGAGACAGCGGCAAGAGGAGCAAGTGACAGAAGGTGACACAAAATAAAAACAGATGGAGGAAACAAGCATTTCACTCCTGCGACCCGTGGATTTCATGAGGGGTTTTGTACATAATGGAACTTAAAGCCAAAAGCCAGTCAAAGGACCAGCAGAGACTGAAGATTTACAGACCTCACAATAAATTCTGATTTATTAAATGGGAGAGGCAGAAAGATGAATGTTTTAAAAGACGTGTTCACAAGAGTTACATTAAGACTCAGTGTCTAGAAGGGACACCTTACTCAGGAAGCACCTCTAAATGGGCTTCCCTCTATGACAGACTCATACTACTTCTGATTTAGAACCTCCAGGCTTTTGTTGTTTTGGCTTACGTGACCATCCCATCACTGCTTACTCCTCTCCAGCCCAAAACTTACAAGCCAGTGGGAATCTTTCAATTCTTCTTATTTCTGGCATGTGAACAGTTGCATGTCTTTGTTGCGCAGGTTAAGATACAAGGCAGAAATTACTAGGTAATTTTAATCTCACAGATGATCCTGTTGCTATCTGCTATACACAGAAGACCCTACATTAAACTTGGAGAGCTTCCTGCTCGTTGGAGACGTGCCATTACGTGAAAAACTGCTCATGGTACATGATGAACTGTACCTGGGAGCCTACACACACACAGAGGTATCACACACAGGGGACGTATCGCAAGCCTTCTCCAAGATAAAAGGCAAATCCTGACTCCAGAGCTGCCTCAAACACGTCAGTGAGGAGCTGCAGGTCAAACTCACATCCACAGTTGCTAAGGAAACGTTAAACTCATGGATTTTCCAAGTTACCAGTGACAGACTAGGGATCTCTAATTCTTGCACCCGACACTCAGCACACTATAAGGCTCCAACAAGATCAATTTTGCAGACCACGTTCAGTTTAGTGACACCCAACCACATGCTTCTTTACACGAGCTTCCTTCTGCTCTGTCATTAGTTATTTCCCTCAGCAGTTAGAACATAATTCTGTTAGAAAGTTCTGATTTTATATTAGGAACAAGACTGTCTAGAGCAGGGATCCTTTGCAGCTGGCTGAAGCAGTACCTCATCATGTCCCAGCATCCCTAGAAGCACCATGCTGATATTCTTCCTAATGGCAGCATCTACTTTTGCACCAGCTCCTCGCGTTACAAACCGCAGCGCTTGCAGCATTGTGTCCCTAGAAGTGATCACAACATACAGTCAGACACTGCCTCTCCCCTTCCACAAAGGAGAAACTGAGCTCTGGATACCTGTAGCAGTTTCTTACACATCAGTAGCGTGTGTGTCCCCTACATAAGGGAGACACGGACTTGTTGGAACAAGTCCAGAGAAGGCCATGGAGATGCTGCGAGGGCTGGAGCAGCTCTGCTCCGGAGCCAGGCTGAGAGAGCTGGGCTGGGTCAGCCTGGAGAAGAGAAGGCTCCTTAAGGGGAGACCTGAGAGCAGCTCCAGTGCCTAAAGGGGCCCAAAAGAAAGCTGGACAGGGGCTTTTTATAGGATCAGGTAGTGACAGGCCAAGGGGAATGGCTTTAATCTGCCAGAGGGGAGACTGAGATGAGCTCTTAGGCAGAAGCTCTTCCCTGTGAGGGTGCTGAGGCGCTGGCACAGGGTGCCCAGAGAAGCTGTGGCTGCCCCATCCCTGGCAGTGTTCAAGGCCAGGTTGGACACAGGGGCTTGGAGCAAGCTGCTCTAGTGGAAGGTGTCCCTGCCCGTGGCAGGGGGTTGGAGCTGGTTGAGTTTTAAGGTCCCTTCCAACCCAAACCAGGCCATGATTCTACGAATTACACCAGTACACCTTACAGTTCAGGAGGCAGATACCCCCCTGTGCACTTCCGACAACTCCACGCTACAGAATATTCCCATGCTTGTGTACTTGTGTCTGTTACAGTGTAAGTATTTTCCGATTATTCAAACGTTACAATTCTCAAATCAAGAAGTTATTTTCTGAGGGATCTGTGCGCTCAGGATACCAGAACAGCAGCGTTACTTCAGGCCAGACTGACAACTGATGCAGTCTTGTATTCGAACAGGTTGCTGGGGGTGTGCGAGAGAGAAGTGGGCAGAAACCAAGCAATGTTTCCCTTGTGCACTCTCACAGCTGAGCTTCTGACCCAGAAGTCCCTATCACCCACATTCTCTGTTCTACAGCCCTTGATTAGAAGTCACCTGCTTTCACTAGTAAATCTTACTCTTGGGATTGGGGTGGGTTGTTCATTCATCCCAGCCTTTTCTCCCATCCTTAATAAGGAAAGGCTCATCCTTGGCAGGAAGGGCTGAGAGACCACCCACTGCTTACCTGATGGCAGAGTCATCACTGGAACGAATTCCATTCAGTAGCTCTGTAAAGAGGGGATCCACTTTTACATGGATGACAATGAGTTTACCAAGAGCGTCGGCAGCTTTAAGGCGAACAGCACGGTTCGAGTCTTGCAGAGCTTTGGTGAAGGTTGTTTGCAACTGGGGCAAAAATGGTTTCAGGGCAATCTCAACCTATAGAGAGAGGGAAGGGAAAGTTGCACAGTCAGGTTTGGATCAGTGGCTAGAAATCAAACCCTGAAAACAGCGCAACCTCTTCTAGTAGTTACCACAAAGAGTCCTCCTACAGATCCAACACCGCAGTAAAACGGGAGAACCATGAAACACCACCACAGAACCCATCTTTTCCAATGTAATTTTCTGCATACTGAAATACAACGGTAAGGTTGCTGAAAAATTTTACACTGTTGTGATCAGCCTTTTTCAATCAGAGCACTGAATGAAAGTTTCAAAGATAAGTAACGGGATTGTCTTTGCACTTAATTCGTAAGAATGGTGGGCACAGGAGATTTATTACATGGCAGTTTTTAATCACTCGAAAATGGGATCAGCATTTAGCAATATTCCTAAGCAGCCCAGTGATTCAGCACTGGGAGCTTTTTCTGGTAGGCCAGAAGCTGCTGGAAGAACATAATCCAGTTAGAGTGCCATTCCTAAACACCAAATCCACACCAGCACATCCTAGCTGTGTTTACGTGAACAGCAACAGGTATTGCTGAAGGCTACCATGGAAAATGTTCACAAACCACAGTCAATTACTTTGAACCTTACCTTAGCTAAAAGAAGGCTTAATGTTTCAAGTAGAGCCACCTTGACATTCCAGCTGAACCGATCTCCCAAGATCCGAATAAGTGGCCCAGTAATGCTCACCACAGATGGCTTAAGAGCTTCAGCAGAAGTCAGTTTAATAACCAGCCCTAAGGCCTTTGCTGCCTCCTCCTTCTGATCTGGATTACCAGTTAAAACACCTTCCCGCAGCACCAGGAGTATGGAAGTCACTCCCTGTCATGAAAATCAGATAAGGAAGCTTAGAAACCAAGTTGCAAAAAGATACGTATCTTATTTCTGCTCCTGTTATACACCAGATGCACAAGCTCCAAGAGTTTCTCTCCATTTCCTGCTGACCTTCAGCTGCCTGCTTCCACACTTACAGAGCTACTTTTATTTGGTTTGATTTCATGCGTCTACGCCTTACTAAACCAGTTGCTATGAGGAAAGTGGTGGCAGCTCAGGGAATTTTTAAACCAGAGAAGCTTGGCACAGAAGCCCAGCATTCCTCCCCCACAAGTCGCAGCCAGCGACCACGACTTACATGCAGACCGGAACTGCCAAAGATCTTGTTACAAGAGGAGTCTTCTGCAGGGTAACTCAAGAGCAGCAGTACCCTACAAAAAACCTCCCCAACATACAGCTCTGGAATGCCCAAATAGTCACTGCTTCTACTAGCTGTAAAGTCACATCAGTGAGCTCCCTCAAAAGGTAGGAGATGGTGGCTGACACAAATCCATGCTCATTCTCATCCTTTACCTTCTTAGGAATACAGAATCCTGGCACATGCTCGCCTTTGGCCTCATTCCCTACAATCCGGATATCCTTATGCAGGTCTTCAATGAGAGCAAGCTGGTTCCCAGCATCTAATTTCTTCAGGAGAAAGGGGTAAGACACAGATGAGACAACACGGCAACCAGCTTTTCCCTGTGCATAGTGTGACAAGAGAAGACACCCATTCCCTGCCTCCTTGCTCACAAAGCTGAAGCTAAGCTCATCATACAACATTTGCAAATGTAAATGCAGTTTATAATCCAAACAGAAGGTCCAATTTATGCAGCGTTTTACCAGCTACCCCCATTTTCTCCTGGCCAGGCATTACCACTGCGATCTTCTTAAGCTGCCTCTCACCTTGGTGATGGAATTGAGCGCGTCCCAGCTTTCATTCAGAACTACATGGTTGGTGTCATTAAACAGCCGTATCAAGCCTGAAACCAAGCTCTTGAGATGACCAGTATAGTCTGCTTTTGTCTTGGAGCAGTAGATATTCAGCATGACAGCTGCTGCCTGTCTCATTCCCAGCTCAGGGCTGCGGGTAGCTTCTAGCAGATCTTCAGTTATAATTCTTTGTCCAGCATCATCTTCCACAGACAGGATTACAGACTGGCAGTTTGCCATCTCCTAAAGAGCCCAAATTAATTTTACATTAACTCTCAAATAGAACAAAGCCAGATTTAGCCCCAGGTTTCCCCACATTATCCACAGCATTATCTTTCCAGAGAAATATTACAACACATCCCACTTGCTAATTGTTTCTCATTAAAGAGCTGGTAACATCACCATAAAAGGCTCGAATGAGTCCTGTAGCAGAGACAGGTTTATAACCAACCCTCACAACATAACCAACTCTGCTGAACCGACTGCTGCACAGGACACTCTCCAGCTGCAGAAGGGCTCATTTACAGGAAGCAGAGTAGCTCAGCCTGCCCCATCTTACTCACCCCTCAGACTGTGGGCCTTGGCAGAGAACATTTCTTTGATTTGGGTAGTTTAATGCTCTGTGTCACAGTACTAATAACAAACACATCTGTGGCTATGTTAGAGATCTCCAGGCAGACTTGGGGCTAGAAGCTGATCTAATGGGCATCTACAGCAGACACCAACTTATGTACATGCCTATCCACAATCACAACTCCAGGATGTCCTCTGGAGTCCAAATATGAGATGTTTCAGAGAGCAGTGCAGCACAAAAGAGATTTCCTCCCTTCAGCCCTTTAATCTCTCAGTCTTCTATACCGAGAATAAACAGAAAGTTAACGAGACACTCTGGCAGTTCTCCAACAATAAGTAGACTGAGAATTGTATCCTGTTGCAGGCCAAGGAGACTTTTCTATGGATACAAATAGATTTGGAAAGCATACGTTTTTCAATTCACAATATGCTACCAGGCAAAAAGACTCATCCTGAGGAAGCTAATGGGCTGAATTAAAACATGCAATCTGTGAATCTAGAGAACACAGATTCTGTGTTGGGAAGTCAACCCAAAGCACTACCGCCAGACAACCTGTCGTATCAAAGAGCTGAGCCACGCTACTTGCCAATTGCTCTTCACTGGTCCCCAGCTTCTCCTTGAGCACAGACATCATAGCAGGCAGGATGACACTCAGGTGCCGTGTCAGAGCATCCCCTGCCACTGACGAGAGGAAAGCCAGCACGCGGGTGTTCACAGGGGGAGTCGTCAGCTAAATGAACAAAAGCAGATGAGACAGGCAGAGAGGTTCTTCAGAAGGAATCTCTCTTCATTTACCGCATGAAAAACTTAGGTAGCCCAACCCCAATGAAATGTTTACAGCATAAAATCACAGGAACATTTCAAGCTACGCTCTTCCTTTGGGCAGATCGAGTCTAAAGAAAACTGGCAGCAAGCAGAGGAAAAAGCACAGTTCTGAAGTTTAGAATTTGCTTCCAATTGTACCTTCGGCACCAAATAAGGCAGCACCACTCGGCTCTTGACAGCCATAACTTGTTTAAGACCGTCCACAGCAAAGTCAGATGTCTCTTCATTATCCTAGGGGGAAGGAGAAAGAAACCTGAGAGATGATTTGGGACACACCAAGCTAAACCCCATTTCAAGTGACAGTTTACCATGTGATCACATAACCAACACACAAAATGCTCCTATTATCTAGCAAAAACACAAACCAAGCTCTTCTGTCACATCATAAAGATTTCAGGCACAGTGGCCAAGCAACTGAAACAGGCAATGATGCCAAATCCATACCAGCAATTCTTAGGCCTATGCTTTAGCTGAAAGACCTTCCCCTACCAATGGCTACGGCAACTGCAAGGAAGAGGCAAAGCAGAGCTGCCATTCCCAGGTCCGCCCCTATAATCCTGCTTCTCCTTTAAGGTAACTATTCAAAACCTGTCCCACAACATCATTATCAAGTTGTTGTCTGATGCTGAGCAATGCTCACCAGCTGCTTCAGCAAAAACGGCAGGATGTCTTCAAGAGCCTGGTGCCCAATCGTTGAGTGCAACTGTTCAAATGTTTTAGCGGCAGCCTCTCGGACTTCTTCCAGAGGGTCACACAGTGCTTTTCTCACTGTGGGAACGAGGGACTCGGAGAAAAGCAGTACCTAAAGATGCAGAGATACAGTTACAGAATGTGTAAAGCACAGACACGCATCTCAGTAAAGCAGCCGAGAAGGCAGAATTTGCACAACTGAAACTAAATTGCCGTTTGCTTGAAATATATTGGAAGACAAGCAGGATTAATCAACACAAATAGCTGCAGTGCTCCAAGGCTATCTACTGATGATTCCTGTTACTGTATCTCATAAAAGTGTAATGTTCCAAGTCTATTGACAGATACAAATGCATCCATTTGCCTGAACAGCGACTCACGTTAGCTATATGTTAGCTGATTTCAGTCCATAAAACAAATCCAGCACCTGCTGTGCAAATCTGTTTCAATTGCACACCTGTATGAGAACATAAATACTTAGGGAAGTGGAGATTGCACCTTCCACATACAACTTACCGCATCCCTGCTGGTAGATTTCATTATCTCACTCAACCCAATGCAGACTCCTTGCCTCTCATCACTCTTGTCTGACCTCAGCCCATCCTCCAGAATAGGAATGATTTCAGGCAGGATCTTCTCTCCTAGCTTTCGGACAAGGTCTCCTAATGTCCGTGCTGCAACCTGTATCCAAAAGCGTATTAATTAACTATTTTCCTGTTTTATAAAACTTAAAAAGGTGAACTGTGAGCAAATGTTAACTTTTTACCATAAACTACTGTCCAAAGTACAGACAGAGTAGCAGGAATGAAAACATTACTATTATGAAATGACCACGGTTTTACTGTCA